GGTGTGCGCTACCACACCCGGCTAATTTTTTGATTTATTATAGAGATGAGGTCTCACCAAGTTGCCCAGGTAGGTCTCGAACCTGCGGGCTCAGGCAATCCACTCACCTCAGCCTCCCAAGGCACAGGATTATAGGCTAAGCCACCGGCCCCGGCTTTTTTCTTCTTTTTTTGAGTTGAAGTCTCACTCTGTCACCCAGGCTGGAGTGCAGTGGCACGCTCATGGCCACCGCAGGCTTGACCTGCTGGGCTCAGATAATCCTTCCTCCTCAGCCTTCTAAGTAGCTGCAACTATAGGTGTGCACTACCATGCCTGACTTACTTTTTTTTTTTGAGTTGGAGTCTCACTCCATCGCCCAGACTGGAGTGCAGTGGCATGCTCCTGGCCACTGCAGCCTCGATCTGCTGGGCTCTGGCGATCCTTCTGCCTCAGCCTTCCAAGTAGCTGGAACAACAGGTGCACGCTACCATGCCCGGCTAATTTTTTATTGTAGAGATGAAGTCTCACCAAGTTGCCCAGGCAGGTCTTGAACCCGCGATCTCAGACAATCCACTCACTTCGGCTTCCCAAAGCACTGGGATTACAGGCTGAGCGACCAAGCCCAGCCGCCTGGCTTACTTTTTGACATATTGTAGAGATGAGGTCTCACCAAGTTGCTCGGGCTAGTCTCGAACCCTTGAGCTCAGGCAATCCTATTGCCTCGGCCTCCCAAAGTGCTGGGATTGTAGGCTTGAGTCACTGAGCCTGGTCTCCCCCCAAAATTTTTAAAAACAAACAGACAAATATTCCCTGAAAGATCACACATTTAAGTATTTTTTGTCAGTTAACAGATACAGAGAAACCAAGTACGAATGTGAATGAACAATTTAGCCATGCAGCTGTGAATCTCTGGATGGCTATGGAATCTGGAGAGTCCTTTGTGGCTCTGCACTTGTGGTGCCCCAGTGGTGATTATCTGGGCAGCTTCAGCCTGAAGAGGGAGTGAACCCCAGCAGCTGCTCGATGGGCTTAAACCGCCATTCGTCTGCTTCCAGCTCTTCTACCAAACCAGCTAGTTTTTCCATCCGAGCAACCTGCTGATCTGTAAAGAGTCAAGGAGGTAATATTACACAACAGTGTATTACCCAAGAGATTGCCACCAATCACCAGGATGATGACTGGTTTAAAAATAATTTCCAGATGGATTTTTTTTTCTTTTAAGATACATATTTTAGCCGGGCTCGGTGGCTCAGCCTGTAATCCTGCACCTTTGGGAGGCTGAGGTGAGTGGATTGCCTGAGCCCGCATGTTCGAGACCTGCCTGGACAACTTGGCGAGAACTCATCTCTACAATAAATCAAAAAATTAGCCGGGTGTGGTAGCGTGCGCCTGTAGTTCCAGCTACTTGGAAGGCTGATGCGGAAGGATCGCTGGAGCCCAGCAGGTCGAGGTTGCGGTGGCCGGGAGCGGCCACTGCACTCCAGTCTGGGTGACAGAGTGAGACTCCAACTCAAAAAAAAAAAGATAAATATTTTTTGAGTTGGAGTCTCACTCTGTCACTCAGGGTATAGTGCAGTGGCCCGGTCATAGCCACTGCAGCCTCAAACTGTTGGGCTTAGACAATCCTTCTATTTCAGCCTTCCAAGTAGCCAGGACTACAGGCGTGCACCACCATGCCCAGCTAATTGTTTTGATTCATTGTAGAGGTGAGGTCTCACCAAGTTGCCCAGGCTGGTCTCAAACCCATGGGCTCAGGCAATCCTCTTACCTCAGCCTCCCAAAGTGCTGGCATGAGCCACCGTGCCCAGTATTCTTTTTTCTTTTTTATTAAAGATGTGGGGTGCAAGTCAGGATTGGGTGCCTAAGTGGTCTACGTACAGGTGAAGTTTGGGTCCCCCATTGGACCTCCCTTCGCCTGGATTGGGATCATGCATCCTTATTGATGTTGTGTTCCCACACCTTTGCTGCTTTTGACTGTACAGATGAAAGCTGAAACCTGCCAGATCTTACTTGATCATTCTGCATATTTTAAAATGTGCTTTTTTCCTCTCCGGCACATGTTAAGCCATGAAGGAATAATAATCTCCCCACCTCCTTTCTTCTTCTTTTATTCATTTTTATTGGAGACAGGACCTTACTATGTTTCCTAGGCTGGTCTCGAATTCCTGGCATCAAGTCATTCTCTTGCCTTGGCCTCCCTCAAGTGCTAGGATTACAGGTGTGAGTCACCATGCCTAGCTGATTTTTTTTCTTTTTTTGAGTCTGAAAAGTTCCTCCTAATGTTAGAAATCATTTAAAGACAAAATGATCTGTTTTAATCTGTGCTCTATTCTTTAAAAAAAAGTACTCATCCTCTATGCCAGTGATTTGTAGACTGAAATTCTAGGGTTAGAGGCAATTGCATTATCGTATTTACCCTATATAATACTTGATGGAGAAATGGTCTGGTGGGGGAACATCGATCTCTGATGTGGAGATGAAGGTTTGGTGAGGCATAATGTAACAGAAAGGGTGCTACCAAGAGTCCAGACAGAGCATGAGGTGTTGTAATGTTATACACATACTTGAAGAAGAAGATGAGGATGGTAACCAGTGGAGGACAACAGTAAAAGGAGGTGTCAGGAAGGAGAGGAGAAAGCAACACAAGAGGAACAGGAAGCATCTACTACCCTAGAGAACCAACTTTTGACTTCAACTTTAAGCCTCAATGTGGACATTATGACTTAGATTAAAACCTGAGAATTTTCTTTAATTTAGGAAGTCGACTTAAACAGCCTTGTTGAGTTCAGGGGTTTTTGCCACATCACACTGACCATTTGGAAACCCCTCTCCCCCGCTCACAATCAAGCATATAACACTCATGTGCTTACCATGTTTCACCTGTTTAAGCGTGGATGCCACTTGATAGCTGAAAACCGATTCACAAAGGAATCTCTCTGAACCATCTATAAACAAAAGGGGAAAAAGTTTTAATCTGCTCCAAAGGTTTTATGGCTTCTGACAAACCAAGTAAACTTGTCCATTCTTTTCCCGGCCTTTACATTCAGGGTTGTTTTCAGTGTTTACAAAGAAGGTTTCTGTTTCATTTAGAACTAACACTATTATAAAAGTTAATTATTCTATATACCTAGAACCTTAAAATAGTCCCTCTACTTGCTTAAGAGTTTAAAAATAGTGTTTAAAAAAACAAAAACAAGAAACCTCAGTCTGATGTCCTGGTCAACACTTCCCCCTCCCAACCCGACAGTTTCTTAATGTTCTCCTCGTCTGTATGTCAAGCAAACACTGCCAGCTGACACATTTGGCCATGTGGCTCCTGTGCTATCAAAATATTCAGGTACACAAAAACTCCAGATCGTTTTCACTCTAAAAAACAAAGCTGAAGGAAAAACAGTTGTTCATTTTTAATATATCAAATTACATCACTATGACAATCACAAAACACTGCTGGGAAATTTCATCCTGTGAACGCAAACTGTAACCTTGATTTTCCAACTGAACCAAAACACTGCAATTTGGATGACGATAAGAGCATGGTGCAAGTTCAGAACCTAGCACTGTGCTAGTGCCAGGAACTGCCAACAAGAAGTGGCCAACTCAGTCACCACAGCATTTGGAAGATGATCATGTTATTTCTTGTCAGGCAGGGCTGATACAGCAAAACATGTCTCCCAAAACATGTAGCTCATGTAGAAAAACTTGATTTTTAAAAGGGTCGCAGAAACCATTTGAAGCATGTGCTTTACTGCAAAACCCTAAAACAAATGGCGAAGGGGGTACAGCTGTCTTTTTTTAGGCAGTTGTTCCTGTCAGCACTACTAGGTGTCAAGCATTCACCCATCAATCATGTGTTGTTGTGCTGGTCAGGTATTGAGTGATAAGGAGATAAGACTAACACATTCTGGTCTCATGGTGAGTTCCACACAAGGCAGGCCTCATTTCAGAAGTCACAGTAACCAGTGAGAAGAATGACAGATATTGTACCCAAATGGGTTGAATATGCAACTAAGAGGGCTTTCTTCCATAACATCTTCACAACATCTCCCCCACAAAAAAAGGATTATTATTGAGATTCACACTTAAAAAAAATTTTTTTTAAAGACAGGGTTTCACTCTCACCCTGGCTGGAGTGCAGTGGCATAATCGTTACTTACTGCAGTCTCAAACTCCTGGGCTAAAGTGATCCTCCTGCCTCAGCCTCCCACGTAGCTAGAACTATAGGCACACGCCACCACACCCGGCTAATTTTTTTGTAGAGGTGGGTCTCACTTTGTTGCTCAGGCTAGCCTCCAGTGAATGCAAATGTACTCCTGGCGTCAAGTGATCCTCCCGCCTTGACCTCCCAAAGTGTTGGGATTACAGGCGTGAGTCACAATGCCTAGCTGATTTTTTTTTCTTTTTTTGAATCCAGCAGAGGGGATGTACACTCTTTAGGGAGAGTGGCACATTCTGTAAACTCAAACCCTTTCTACATATTGTGCAATATATGGGCTATGATTCCATCCCCTTTATCCCTCACCTCCTATTTCTCTGGCTGAATTTAAGTCATTTGTAAGCTGCTGCTCATTCAAACTGAGCAAATCAATATTTTCATTTAAAATTAACTGAAGGCTGGGCACAGTGGCTCAAGCCTGTAATTCCAGCACTTTGGGAGGCCAAGGTGAGAGGACTGCCTGACCCAGGGGTTCGAGACCAGCCTGGGCAACTTGGCGAGACTTCATCTCTACAATAAAAAAAAAAAAAAAAAAAAAAAAAAAGACCAGGCTCAGTGGCTCAGCATAAGCCCACAGGTTTGAGATCAGCCCGGACCCGGACAACTTGGCGAGACACGGTCTCTACAATAAATTAAAAATTAGCCAGGCATGGTAGCACATGCCTATAGTTCTGGCTACTTGAAATGCTGAGGTGGAAGAATTGCGGAGCCCAGCAGGCTGACACTGGGGTGGCCGTGAGCGTGCCACTGCTCTCCAGCCTGGGCGACGGAGTGAGACTCCAACTAAAAAAAAAAATGAGCCAGGTGTGGTAGCTCACGCCTATAGTTCCAGCTACTTGGAAGGCTGGGGCAGAAGGATCACTAAGCCCAGCACGTCGAGGCTGTAGTGACTCTGAGTGTGTCACTACACTCCATCCTGGGTGACAGAGACTCCAACTCAAAAAACAAAACAAAACAAAACAATAACCACCCCCCAAAAAAAATTAACTGAATGCCATATTGACTAGGTAAGCTAATGATATAACTGAGTTTTTCAGACAAGAATGGGTAGTAGTAAATAACTATGAATTCCACAATGGAAAGAGAGACCGTTGTGAACATTTGACACCAATGATGCAATCTACTATAGCTCTTCTGTGTAAATAATATGCCAGCATTCATTATCCTGCTCATACTCTCGCTTAAAAAGTCTAATTATAACTCAAGTTTTATTTTAGAAAGAGCAAAGCATAGAGAATCACAGTTGACCTCTCAGATGGTTTGATCCTGAACTTTAGAACTGCACACAAGGCAGTGGGAATTAGGATCAGACCAAGATATATATGGAAGCTCTTAGAAGTACAAACTCCCACTTACATTTAATCACAGGTGCTATTAAGATAAAATGTTCAAGTTGTGACAGTTACACATTTTCCTTGGAAATGAATTTCAAAGCAAAAGGATGTAAGTGAATCTTTCAAAAGGGCACCTCTGCTCATCACTCCACCACATGTATGCCTATGGAACACTTCTGCTGATTTGCAGCTCTGTATTAACCACAAGTCCATTGTTTCTTAGCCACATCCTATTAGATGTAATATCTGTACCAATCTAAAGCCTGGAATTTCTCCAGAGTGGAGTCGGCCTGGGGCAATCTGTCTTCCATTTAGAAATTGTAATCAAACCCTTTGTAACACACCAAGTAGCAATACATCAGCTTTCCTCTTAAGGGACAAGCAAAGGTTATAAATAGTGAAAAGTTCAGTAAATTGCCTAAATATAACACCTTCACCAATTCCAATAAATAACGATGGTAACAAATTCATTTAAAAGAATATTACCTCACAGTAGGAAATTAGGCAATGCCTGATAATTGATACTTCAGGGGCCTACAATGTCACTAAAATACAGCCACTGCTGGGCTGGAAGGCAGTCTCTAATTTGCTCACTAATAACTAGGTGAGGACAGTTTTAGCCAAGGACAGGAGAATGCTTAAAACGGCTGTTTACTGCTTATGTGCGGTGTCGGTTATCAGAGAGCAAATGCACCAAAAAGTTAATTCACAAGGTTAACTACAGGTTATTTGGGTTTATTATCCTAGACTTAGAAAAATGCAACATCAAGCTGAACCTGTTAAGATTATAAGTGGGCTGGGAGTCATGGCTCATGCCTATAATCCCAGCACATTGGGAAGCTGAGGTGAGAGAACTGCCTGAGTTCACAGGTTCGAGACCAGCCTGGGCAACCTGGCGAGACCTCATCTCGACAATAAGTAAAAAAATCAGCAGGGTGTGGTGGCGCATGCCTGTGGTTCCAGCTGCGGGGAAGGCTGAGGTGGAAGGATTACCTGAGCTCAGCAGGTCGAGGATGTGGTGGCTGTGAGTATGCCACTGCAACCCAACCTGGGTGACAGAGTGAGACTCCAAGTCCCCCCAAAAAATTATAAGCAACATCCAGCCTTGATTCCTGACTACTTTTCTTCCTTACTCTCCTTAGGCAACCCTTCCTACTCTATTTTCACATTTTATCAAGCTACCAGTTGGTCAGACGCACGTGTTAGAGTGACTGTTTTTTTTTTTTTGAGTTGGAGTCTCACTCTGTCGCTCAGACTGGAGTGCAGAGGCCGCTCCCGGCCGCCGCAGCGTCGACCTGCTGGGCTCCGGCGATCCTTCCGCCTCAGCTTTCCGAGTAGCTGGAACTACAGGCGGGCGCTACCACACCTGGATAATTATTTGATTTATTGTAGAGATGAGGTCTTGCCAAGTTGCCCAGGTGGGTCTCAAACCCGCGGACTCAGGCAATCTACTCACCTCAGCCTCCCAAGTCGCGGGATTATAGGCTGAGCCACCAAGCTTGGCTTAGAGTAATTGTTTAATAGAACTATATCACCTTTAAACATGGTAGAAAATGCTTCCACATCTAATACCCTTACTCACATTTAGAAGTACCGTTTTCAAGAATCAAGTACATTTTGAATCCTTAATAGGTTCTTTACCAATGTTTTTCAAAATATGATAAGGTATACTTCATGAGAAAGCCCTGGATGCTGGGCTTTCTCATGAAGTATTCAGAAACTGTGAGGTGGGCCCACAAGTGTGAGTTTTGTTATTTTTGAGTTGAAGTCTCACTCAATCGCCCAGGTTGGGGTGCACTGGCACACTCATTGCCACCATAGCCTCAACCTGCTGGGCTCTGGCGATCCTTCTGCCTTAGCCTTCTAAGTAGCTGGAACTACAGGCACGTGCTACCATGCCCAGCTTATTATTTTTTTATTATTATTTTTTGAGTTGGAGTCTCTGTTGCCCAGACTGGAGTGCAGTGGCACGCTCCTGACCACCGCAGCCTTGACCTGCTGGGCTCCGGAGATCCTTCCACCTCAGTCTTCCAAGTAGCTGGAACTACAGGCGCGCGCTACCACGCCCGCCTAATTTTTTTTATTTATTGTAGAGATGAGGTCTCACCAAGTTGCCCAGGCAGGTCTCGAACCCACAGGCTCAGGCAATCCACTCACCTCGGCCTCCCAAAGCGCTGGGATTACAGGCTGAGCCACCGAGCCCGGCCTTAATTTTTTGATTTATTGTAGAAACAAGGTCTCGCCAAGTTGCCCAGGCGGGTCTCAAACCCGTGGGCTCAGGCAATTCACTCACCTTGCCCTCCCAAAGCGCGGGATTACAGGCTGAGCCACCGAGCCCGGCTATTTTTTTTTATTTATTGTAGAGAGGAAACCTCACTAAATTGCCCAGGCTGGTCTCAAACCCCTAAGCTCAGGCAATCCTCTCGCTTCGACCTCCCAAAGTGCTGGGATTATAGGCCGAGCCACTATGCCCAGCCTTTCTTTTCAAGTAGGAGTCTTACTCTGTTGCCCAGGTTGGAGTGCAGTGGCATACTTACACTCACCGCAGCCTTGACCTGCTAGGCTCAGGTGATCTTTCTGCTGCAGCCTTCCAAGTAGCTGGAACTACAGGTGAGCACTACCACACACGGCTAATTTTTTGATTTATTATGGAGACGAAGTCTCGCCAAGTTGCCCAGGCTGGTCTCAAACCTCTGGACTCAAGCAATCCTCTTGCCTCCACCTCCCAAAGTACTGGAATCCCAGGCGTGAGCTACCATGCTGGGATAGAAGTGTGCGTTTTCAAGTTCCTCAGGTGATCTTTATGCTCTCTGTTAAGAATTATTAGTCTAGGCAAGGTGTGGTGGCTCAAGCCTATAATCCCAGCACTTTGGGAGGCCAAAGTGAGAGGACTGCCTGAGCCCAGGGGTTTGAGACCAGTCTGGGCAACTTGGTGAGACTTTGTCTCTACAATTAAAAAAAAAAAAATTTAGCCAGGTGTGGTGGTGCATGCCTGTAGTTCTAGCTTCTTGGAAGGCTAAGGCAGAAGGATTGCCTGAGCCCAGCAGGTCGAGACTGTGGTGGGTATGAACACGCCACTGCACTCCAGTCTGGGCAATAAAGTGAGACTCTAACTCAAAAAAAGAAAAAAAATTATTAGTCTCGTGCCATGAATCTGATGAATTCCTGTTACCAGTGATGTTGCAGGCTCACAGCCTATATCCTGATCTTGGCCAGCCAGTCTGCAAATGTGTGCTGAATAAACATCGTGAACAATCTCATGCAAATCTGGCTCCAGTGCTAGAAAAACCACACAGAGCTGTCCTGCAGTGGGCCACGAGTCATTTTTGCATAAAAGGGCAGTGTGTTAGTTTTTATTTCCTCTTAGAACCCTTCTGATGGGGTGAATCCATCTCTAGGTTAATTATACTAGAAAAAAATACATCAACCCTATTAACCATAATGAGGCACAGGTGCCAGGATAAAGCAAACTGGAACAGAAGGTCAAGAGAATTCCTGGTTCTAGTGCTGACTTTGCCTTTAACAATTAACTCACTTAACTTTTCTGGATCTAAATAAATCTAGTTAACCTCTTTGATTTCAAAGTCTTTTTCAGCTCCAAAATTCTGATTCTGGAGCAAAATTTTTTTTAAATACATTATTTTGAGATAGGAACAAGAGATGAACTGTGGAGCTGAAATCAGGGCAAACTCATCTTTAATCCACTTAACAGCTTCTTTACAATTAATATTCACTGCAGGTCTGAATCTAATTATTCAGCAAAAAGCAGCATGAGATCACCTTCTAACATCTCTCCAGCTCCTTTGGGGTAGGTGAAAAGGGCTTTCCGTGGTGGGGCAAGGTCTGAGACACTGAAACCAGATCCAGTGACAGAACTTCCACTGACCCCACCAGCTGAAGAGGATGATGAAGAGGCAGCCATTTCCTCTCTAGTAGAATTCTTACTTCAACTACAGAGAAAGAAAAACAGCAATTGGCAAGTTTATGGAAGTGAGATTGACATTTCATCCAAGCCACAAGGGGCATAAGCATACAGTTTTGTAAAGAATTAGCTCCCCTTTTTTTTATTCGCTCTACTTTCACAATCTTTTATCAACGTCTCGGGCCAATGTCACTCAGGCTTTGAAGTGAAAATATGTTTAAGAAAAGTGTGTCTACTTGAAACACTAATTCCTATCATTAGCAAACTGTTTATGTCTCCTGGTATTGACTGTGGATGATTGAGTTATGAAGGGGTGCTATGGTGGTGCCAAGGCAGAAATCTGGCTGAGGAAGTAAGTTATATGAGGATAAAACAACCACACTCCATAGGACAGTTCGTCTTAGACACATCCTGACCAAGCCACATCAAGAAACTCACTTATAATATTTTCCAAATAAAATTCCAGAATAACACTGTGTTCTGTTCCCAAGGAAGGGAAACTGGTTAGGAAATACATATTGGCCCTTTCATTAAAAATTAACCTTTTCACCCAAATGTAGTACTCAAATTTATCACTTGGTGGCGTCCCAAAACTGGAACAAAATAGTTCAGGAACTGATCTTGGAAATCATGGCCTATTATGAACACAGCAGCTGTGTTTAATCCTATTTCATATAAAAAACTAAATGTAAATGAGAAAATCTATAGTGAATACATGACTCCTTACAAAAGTTCAAAACAAAAACACTTCCTCTGCCACAAAAACGTACCCGATTTTAACAAAAAGAGCCTAAAAGTGTATACAGTATTTTCTAAAAAAAGAAAAAGGTCTAGTGCTGCTGTCTGATAGACCTTTATGCCACGATGAAAATCTTCCAATGTTCTATTTTTGCACTGTCCAGTATGGGAGCCACTAGCCTCATGCTTTGGCTGTATATTGATATGAAGAACTGAATTAAAAAAAAAATTTTTTTTTGAGTTGGAGTCTCTCTCTGTCGCCCAGACTGGAGTGCCGTGGCACGCTCCCGGCCACTGCAGCCTCGATTGCTGGGCTCCGGTGATCCTTCTGCCTCAGCCTTCCAAGTAGCTGGAACTACAGGCATGTGCTACCATGCCCAGCTTTTTGATTTATTGTAGAGATGAGGTCTCGCCAAGTTGTGCAGGTGGATCTTGAACCCTCCAGCTCAGGTAATCCACTCGCCTCGGCCTCCCAAAGTGCTGGGATTACAGGCTGAGCCACTGAGCCTGGCCTTGAATTTTAAATTTTATTTAATGTTAGCTAAAATTTAAATAGTCACGTGTGGCTGGTGGTTACTGTAATGAATAGCAAAGTTGTAGTGTTTAGATTAAAAATGATTTAGCTGGGTGTGATGGCTCATACATGTAATCCCAGCACTTTGGGAAGCAGAGGCGAGAGGACTGCCTGAGCTCAGGGGTTGGAGACCAGTCTGAGCAATATGGTGAGACGTTGTCTCTACAAAAAATCATAAAAAATTTGCTGGCTGTGGTGGTGTGTGCCTATAGTTTCAGCTACTTAGAAGGCTGAAGCAGAAGGACTGCCCAAGTCCAGCAGGACAAGGCTGCAATGGCCATGAGCGTGTCACTGCATTCTAGTCTGGGTGACAGAGTGAGACTCACTCTGACTCAGGAAAAAAAAAAAAAAATTTACACGGAATTGTAGTTTAAATTACCAACAATTAATTTTACGTAAATATTAGCCCACTGCAGCCTTGATCTCCTGAGCTCAGGCGGTCCTTCTGCCTTAGCTTCCCAAGTGGCTGGGACTACAGGCATGTGCCACCATAACCAGCCAGTTTTTTTATTTTTCGTGGAGACGAGGTCTTGCTATGTTGCCTATACTGGTCTCAAACTCCTGGGCTCAAACAATCCTCCATTCTTGGCCTCCCAAAGTGCTAGGATTACAGGCATGAGCCATCGTGCCTGGCCAAAAAAAGACTTTAAAAAGATTTAAAAATGAATTTCCCTCTGTTATGGCTAGAGAGAATTTTAGTTGTTTTTTTTTTTTTTTTTTTGAGCTGAAATCTCACTCTGTTGCTCAGATTGGATTGCAATGGCTACTCTCAGCCACTGCAGTCTCAACCTGCTGGGCTCCGGCGATCCTTCCGCCTCAGCCCTCCAAGTAGCTGGAACTACAGGCACGCACTACCACACTTGGCTAATGTTTTGATTTATTGTAGAGATGAGGTCTCGCCAGGTTGCCCAGGAGGATCTCGAACCCGCGGGCTCAGGCAATTCACTCACCTCGGCCTCCCAAAGCGTGGGATTACAGGCTGAGCCACCGAGCCTGGCCAGTTTTTTTTTTTAAAGGCTAGTCAAGTAAAGCAGTAGGAGCAAAGAAGGAACAAAAAAAATCTGTGTTTGTGATCATTTAGTTGTATACACCACTGCACTATTTTTCCTTTTCACTAATTTTTTTTTTGCTAGGTGTAAAATGAATGTATTTGGTATAAAAAGTTGAAACTTATTTTATTTTTTTTTTGAATCAGAGTCTCACTCTGTTGCCCATGTTGGAGTGCTGTGGCACACTCATGGCCACCACAGCCTCCATCCGCTGGGCCCAGGAGATCCTTCTGCTTCAGCTTTCCAAGTAGCTGGGACTACAGACGCATGCCACCACGCCCAGCTAATTTTTTGATTTATTGTAGAGATAAGGTCTTGCCAAGTTGCCCAGGCTGGTCTTAAACCCCTGGGCTCAGCCAATCCTCTCGCTTCAGCTTCTCAAAGTGTTGGGATTACAGGCGTGAGCCAAAGTGCACGGCTGAAATTTATTTTTTAAAAAATAAAATAATAGCTGGGCGTGGTGGCTCATGCCTGTAATCCCTTTGGGAGGCCGAGGTAAGCGGAATGACTGAGCCCTCAGGTTTGAGACCAGCTTGGAAAACTTGGCAAGACCTTGTCTCTACAATAAATTAAAAAATTAGCTGGGCGTGGTGGTGTGTACCTATAGTTCCAGCTACTTGGAAGGCTGAGGTGGAAGAATTGCCAGAGCCCAGCAAGTTGACGTTGAGGTGGCCTTGAGCGCGCTACTGCACTCCTGCCTGGGTGACGGAGTGAGACTCCAACTAAAATAATAATAATAGTCATTAGGAAAGCAATACAGATATAAATCTTATATACACATATAGAATCCAGTGTCCTACTAAGAAAAATGATAACTCTTGAAATGCTGGCTGTTCTGTTTCCTTGATTTTTGTCAGGATGATTTAAGGCTGTCAAAGATGCAGAGATTGGTTTCTTTTTTTCTTGAGTTGGAGTCTCACTGTCGCCCAGACTGGAGTGCAGTGGCTCCGGCGATCCTTCTAACTCAGCCTTCAAAGTAGCTGGAACTACAGGTGTGCGCTACCACGCCCCGCTAATTTTTTGATTTTATTGTAGAGATGAGGTCTCGCCAAGTTGCCCAGGCGGGTCTCGAACCCGCAGGCTCAGGCATTCCACTCACCTCGGCCTCCCAAAGCGCGGGATTACAGGCTGAGCCACCGAGCCTGGCTTCTTTTTTTTTTAATTAAATTAAATTAAACTTTAAGTGAGCATTGTTATTTCCATTTTACAAGGAGAAAAGTTAAAAAAAATTAAATTAAATTTTAATTAATTAATTTTTTTGAGTTGGAGTTTCACACCGTCACCCAGGCTGAAGTGCAGTGGCACACTCACGGCCACCCCAGCATTGACCTGCTGGGC